TGGTCTTTTCACAGTTCCTTGAACATGGCAGATGCTCCTGCCATGTTAAGAGCATTTCATTTATGGTTCCTCTGCCTGCCGAAGTCTTTCCTCAGATATACTCACTGCCTCCTCCCTCATCTTCTTCAAGTCCTTGTTCAAATGCGACCTTTGGGGAACTTTCCTAATCAACATATTTAAAATTTTAACACTCTCAGTCCACCTCAAACTCCTCATGCCTTTTCTGCTTGTATTTTCCCCAGAGCAAATATCACCAATAAACATACCATCTATATTATAATTATTCTATTTATCTGTGCCCCCCAATAGAATGTAAGCTCCAGAAGTACAGAAGCTTTTGTTTATTTTTATTCTCTTGTGCATCCCCAGTCTCTGATGCAATGCTTGAAACATCATAGGTGAGTAAATGAATGAATAAACGTAGACTGACATAAGAGATCCTGAGGAAAAAAGGTGGAGACATAATTGTGAAAGAGAAGAAGAGAACGTTTCTTTATATGAAGTGATTCATGAAAATGCACTCCCTCATTTTCTGTCCTCTGTCTCTGGTTCCTGCCACATGGAGAAGAGCACAAATGGAAGACTGAGCGATAAAAGAAGAAACCATCGGCCATCCCCAAAGTTGTGTTCTGAAATACATTTTGTGGGTTGTAAAAAGCACAGCAAAAAATGAATATGTAAGAATCAACAAGCCCAATAATAAACTAGTGTTGGTGAGGATGCAAAGAAATCAGAACCCTCATACACTGCCGGTGGGACTGTAAAATGCCACACTTGCTTTGGAACTGTCTTTCAGTTCCTCAAACAATTAAACACAGTTACCATGACCCAGCAATTCCATAACTAGCTATATACTCGAGAGAAATAAAAACATGTTCTTTTGTGCTCTGAGCACTCAATGTCAGTGTGAGGAGGGAGGACTCCCACATTTCCAACAAGCAATTCTCAGATTCCAGCAGAGTGTCCGAGAGCTCAATTCTGATGCCTATCTACCCGGACATAGCATCCAATTCCACAGGTTGAGGGTTCAGTTCTACAAGACTGCCCACACCCAAATTCAGATGTCAGTCACAATCCCAGGTTATTTCCTGCACTCCTGAGCAACTGACTCTACATCAGAGGTTCCCACAACCCCCTCCTTGGGTTCAGTTAATTTGCTAGAGCAGCTCAAACAACTCAGGAAACCCATTTACTCGCTAGATTACCAGTTTCATTATGAAAGGATATAGATCAGGAATAACCAGATGGAAGAGATGCACAGGGCAAGGTGTGGGGACAGGGGCACAGAGCTTTCATGCTCTCGGAGCTCACCACTCTCCCTGCGTCTCCACAAGTTCATCAACCTGAAAGCTTTCCGAAGACCTCTTTTTGGGTTTTTATGGAGGCTTCATGACATAGTCATGATTGACGAAATCATTGGCGATTGCCAGTTGATTCAACTTCCAGCCCCTCTGCCTTCCCCAGGGGTCAGGGGTGAGAGAGAAAGTTCCAACCTTCTAATCACATGGTTAGGTCTCCTAGAAACCATCACCCATCCTTAGGTGAAGGCCAAAAGTAACTTCATGAATATAACAAAAGATACCTTTATGGCTCTCACCACTTTGGAAATTCCAAAGGGTTTTAGGAGCTTTAAGCCAGAAATGGGGATAAAGACCAAATACATATTTCTTATTATAAATCACAATATCAATATATCCACACAGAAACTTTCATGCAAATGTTTGTAGAATTATTCATAGTTGCAAAAAAGTGGAAACAACCGAAATACCCATTATGGATTAATAGATAACAAAATGTGGTATATCCATACACTAGAATATTATTTGGTCATAAAAAGGAATAAAGTACTAATACATACTACAAGATGAATGAATCTTGAAAACACTGTGCTAACGTGAAAGAAGCCAGACAAAACAGAGCACATATCATATGATTTCATTCGCATGAAGTCCAGGACAGGAATATCTATAGAGACAGACAGTAAGTTTGTGATTGCTTAGGGCTGGGACAAGGACAAAAGGGGCACAGGCGACTGATAACTAAAAGACATGGGGTTTCTCTTTGAGGTGATGAAAATGTTTGAAAATTGACTATGGTGATGGTTGCATATATCTGTGAGTATGATAAAAACCATTGAATGATAAATTTTAAATAAATGCTTACATGGTAAGGAAATTGTATCTCAATAAAGCTGTTAACAATTAACACCTTACATATGACTGGGAAAGTGACAACCCCATGTTAAACATGGTGAGCATCAAGAAGTTGGCTTGACATGGCCTGACCCTGGTCCTCTCTGGTATTTCCTCCTAGCGTGATTGTGTTGTTGGTCGTCCAACACTGGCTCCCTAGGTGCACGATTCTGAATGATTTTATCACTTCCTTGTCAGACTTATTCCTCTTGCATGTCTGTTTTCCATGTATTTTCATTTTTACCTTCCCCACCCCCGTGAGCATACACCTTGCCCCAGGCTGTAATGCAGATGTCCAAAGCAATCACCTGAAAAGCCTAAAGGTTTTTGTCAAGTGCCTTAGACTATATCCCAGCTCTTATCCATTACTCCATCTAGCTAAATGCAATAACAGGTATCAAGGAGCACTGAAAAGCTGTAGTCAAGGTTATTAATATAAATAATAATTATGATTATAATTTATATAATTATTATATTAAATTCCACACCTTACTGCTTTCAACGTCAGTTGTATCATGATGCCAACTATAGGACTATGTGTTAGGGATTATGAAAAACAACCACATGTAAAACAGACAGCCATAAAGTGTCAGTTAGAAGTGTCCTTAGAGACGTTCAAATCCAATTCCCTCATTTTATAGTTGAGGAAACAGATTCAAAAAGGTAAACTGACTTTTCCAATGTCACTTAGTAAAACAGCCAATCCCCATTCAAGGCCCTTTCTGTCATTCCCAGCTGATCACCAATTAGAAAAAAAAAACACAAAAAAACTCTTAATGATTACAGACAGAGATGAAAACGTCACACCAAGATATTATTACATTCCATTAAAATGAATTAGTAAACTAAAGGTTATTAGTATTTTTCAACTTCTATTTCCCTCTTTGTCTTCAAAAATACTTTAAATACTCTTAGATAACAGACACACTTGGCCACTTCTCTCTACTTTGAATCACAATGCAAATAGAATAGCTTTGTTGAATTATACATACAATTAATTTTATGGAACCAATTTAACCATATTCTCATATTAATTCTAAAAAGCTCTAATTTATTAGTCATCTCTTATTAGCGTGCCAAGTTTCCCCCACTTTGAAACATGATTGCTAAACTATAAGGAAAGTCAACTACAGCAAACTTTCCCATTTGGTAACAACTGGAATGCGGCATACCACAATACAATGTATTCCAATAATTTTCATATCACATCAAAATATCATGATGATACAGTTTCCATTTATGGCTTGAGGCAATTTCTGTGTTCTGTTTGCAGCAACATCATTTCATAAGAGTCCTTTGAAGAAGAGCGATTGTGGTGTTAATTAGAGAAAACAATTTTTACTCTATTTTTTGGCCAAGTTCAGATTTATCCCTATAGAAGAAACATATCTAGGCTATTCCAAGATAACGAAAGTCATGAACTGCCTCACAATTGGCACCATGATATTTAATAAATTGAAACATTATAAGATATGAGCTATTTTACTAAGAAAGTAAACATAGTAAATGACCATTCAATTCTTCATTCAGATATAAAGAGCATTTCATGATTGATCGATGTAGAAATTACTATATGTATGTATAGCCCAGAAGAGTAGGATAGGTTACTGTTTCCATCATTTGAAGAAAAAAGTCCCAGAAAGTTCTATTTCCCCTCTAAATTTCTCCCCACGCTATTAAAAAAAAAAAATAGCTGAAGCCCGCCACATTTAATACCTAGCAATAATTTAAACTCATATGTTTGTCAAATGCACAAGGAAAGGATCTGAGATTCTCAATATCAAGCAGCTCTTGTTATGAAGAGGTTGTGTCAAGTTCTCCTAGTAAGAAGAATTTCAAAGCAGGAAAAATGTGGGAGAACAGTGGGGGAGGGCTTCTAAGAAACCACTGCTTTATTTCTTCAACTGGTGAGGGACTTGTGCTAATGAAACTCAGGTGGATGTCAGACAGCAAGCCCCAGGGCTCCCCTGGCAGTGCTACCCTCAGCGATGACAATGAGGGCTCCTGTGAGCCTCCCAGAAAGGTGCCACTTTAAAGAGAAACTGAAAAAAGTACATGAGATCATATTACAGTGGAGCAGCTGAAACCCATCGCTTTAGGGCAAAAAAAAAAAAATCAAGTCATTTGGCTTCAACTACCTTTAAAGAGCACCCACATACCAAATTACATGCATTTCTGCTGCATGAGACACGGACACAATGTTTATACCCATCTATGAACCTAACTAATGATGTCCTGAAGCAAAGATGAATAGATTCAGTTGAGAAATGAATGGGTTCTCTCTTATTTTCATCTCTTCCGTTCCACTAGTAATAATTACTTACAAGCTTCCTTGTCTCCCACACAGGGTTCCCCACCCCCTTCTGTGAGAGATGTCCTGAGTGTGCTCTCAACCTGGATGTTAGCTTTTATTTTAAAGGACTGCTGCCGAAAAACCCATGCCCAAATCTGCCTTCAGAATGAAACATTCTTTAGCTGTAAAATTAAAAAGTCAGTTAACTGCTATTTTGATGCTGCTCCACAAGACTCTGGGTCTGGTTTTCATAATTCCACAATTCCAGGTTTGGGGGACCACTGTACAAGCACCCTAAACAAGCCATCCATCTACTCCATGGCTGGGACCTGAGTAGGTAGGTATCAGAGAGCAGCCCCAGATGCCAACCAGCAATTCTTTGTTACAACTGTTCTTAGCTGCACATTTTTTTTTCAAAGAAGGTTCTGAAACTTCCCAACACTGAGACAACTTCACGGCATAAGACGATGTGATGGTGAGAAATAACAAACACACAGAATAAACATTTCCCTTACCTGGATCGTGGAAAGGCACCAACGCAAAGTTGAACAGAGGTCTCTTAGGTCTTTTCAAAGACGTCTCCAGAATTTTGGAAGCCCCCTCGATAACCTGAACTAAATCATCATACATGGAACCAGTCACATCAAACACAAAAGCCAAGGTGGAGGCCCCCTCGGGAATTTCCTCTGCCCTGATCTCAGACTGGGGGCTTGCATCTTGAGCTAGGGAAGAATAAAGAAGAACAAACAGGAATGCCGTGTGGACAATGTCCCAGGAAATCATTTTCTTTCTTTTTTTTCTTTTTTCTTTTTTTCCTTTCCTGAGCGCCTAAGCACAGCGCTTAGCCCTCCTCAACAACAAGCAGAGGCTCTCCTCTCCCAGCAATTCATTCGCCTCTGGAAGTCTCTGGGACCTGGCAAAAAGTTTGGAGCGGAGACTCGGATGGGGACCAGCACCGAACCCGAATCCCTGCAGGGGCTGAGAGGCAGAGATGCGGTAGCTTTTGTCTGAACCCAGCGTCCTCCCGGGACTGTATCTGCCCGCGGCCGGGCGGCGCGCAGCGGAGTGCGGGTGGCGCGCCCGCCCGAGCCCCGGGGGCCGCGCTGAGCCCTGCGGCGCCGCGCCGAGTCCCCTGCCCTCGCCGCTGCAGCTCTGCTCCGGGCCAGGCGCTGAGGCTCCCAACTTTCCACTGTTCGCCGCTCGCTCGGGAGCGAGGACGGGGGGGAAGCCTGGCTCGGCCTCACCTCCTGATTGGCCAGTGGCCGTGCCCCCTCCCTTTGCTCTGAAGCGCCCCCTCCCAGAGAGCGACTTCTCTCAGTCCTGATTCTGGGGTCAATTCAGTTCCAGGGAAGCGCTCCCAGTGTCAGCTCCACTCCCACCGCCTCTGTTCCTAACCTACAAACACCCAGTGTAAACAATGGCTTTCGAGAATGCGTGGCAAAGACCCAAAGTGAGGGACAGCGCACTCACTAGCACAAAGGGAATTTTCTTCTCCGACTGTGTCCAACGCTGCTTCAGACACCTCTTTCATAATTCCCCCCCCCAGAAGCCAGGGCGTCCCAGCCCAGCCTCCTGTCCCTCCGTCCATAACTCAGCCCGGCCAGGAGGGGGAGCTGGAAACGTCTCCAGGCTGGGCGGCAGCCACACCATCTATCACCCTGATCTCTTCGGGGACTTTGGAGATGCGCAGAAGGGGGAAGGAGGAAGCTGCATGGGCACACAGCAGGAGAAAGAGGAAAGGGGCTTTTGGGGGGAAACGAGTGAGACAGCAGGGCCTGGGGTATCCCTGACTGTCATTGAGAAAGACGGGAGAAGGGAAGGAAGTGAATACAGGGGGGAAGCCAGGTGGAAAGGATGAGGAGATGGAGGGAGGGAGGAAGACATTAAAGAGAAAGCTAGTTTTTTAATTTCATTATCAGACTCACGTTTGCTGAGCAGTCTGCATCCTCCCCTTAGCACGGTGAAGCAGAATAATATCCCCATTTTACATTTCCTCCCATAGAGCTGCCATGTGCCAAGTCTCAGCCAAAAATCCATTCAAAAGGTGTTCCCTTCTATGGCATTTTCTTGCTGATAAGTAAGGAAACCTCGCCCTGGAAAACATTACAAAGTTTTTCCGTGTGGTAATTATTATATACATTATGATACTAATAACAGAGATAAGAAGGTGGACAAAGAAAGTCAATCATCCGCTAAGGAGTCTTTGCTTCGTTTTAATCAAAATGTATTTCCTTCCTGAAAAAGGAGTCGTTGTCTGAATACTGGCATTTAAAGAGGGCCAAACAGGCATCCTGATCGTGTTCCAATGTGTGCGAGACCACCCATCCAACGGAGGCAGCCTGAGGACGCGCCAGCTCCCGTGAGCCTTTGGTAGTCAGCAACCGTTTTCTCTTTCAGACCCAGCGGCTCTGGGATCTGAGTTTATGATACCTATAAGTCATATGTCACTTCAAGGAAGCAGACAGGCCACTGGGGCTGAGTGGGAATATGAGAGGAGAGGGGGAATGTACTTCCTTTCCAAGTTGTATTTAGAGAATGCTATGTGAGTAACCCAGTCCTTTGTTTATTCAAAAGGGATTGCATTCTAAATCCTAGCGTTTTCACTGAGACCTGAGCTATTCCAGGTGTTCGAGGGAGGGGGCAGAGCCTAGTGACTAAGAGTTCTGGGTCAGATAGCCTGTGCTCAAAGCCTAGATGTGACACAACAACTGCATATCTTCAGCATGTTACCTAACGTCTTCATGCCTTCATTTATTCAGCGGTCAGTGGGGATAATGATAGTACCTATCCAACAAGAATTCAATGATTCATCTTAGAAAATGTGCCATATGCATTAAAAAGAATGTTTGCTGTTGGGTGGAATGTTCTATAAATGTCTATTAGGTCAAATTGTTTGATAGTGTTGCTCTATATCCTTAGCGGTGCCAGCCTACTTGCTCTATCAGTTATTGAGAGTGGTATTGAAATCACCGACTTTAATGATGGATTTGCCTGTTGCTTCTTGCAGGTCTATGAATTTTTGCTTCAGGCATTTTGAAGTCCTGTAATTAGATGCATAAACATTGAAGACTATTATGTCCTCTTGACTAATTGACACCTTTATCATTATGAATTACCTTCATTATTCCTGGTAACATTATTTGCTCTGGAATATACTTTGGTGATAATATAGCCACTCCAGCTCTCTTCTCATTGGTGTTAGCATGCTATATCGTTCTCCATCCTGTCATTTTAAACCTGTTTGGATTTTATATGTAAAGTGTGTTTCTTGTAGTCATCATAAAATTGGGTCTTTTTTTTTTTGCATGCAATCGAACAATCTCTGTCTTTTAATTGGGCTGTTTAGACCATTTACATTCAATGTGATTACAGATATAATAAAATCTATCATCTTGCTATTTGTTTTCTACTTGTCCCATCTGTTTTGAGTTCCTTTTTTCCTGTTTTTCTGTCTTCATTTGGATTTACTGAATATTTTTATGATTCCATGTATTTCCATTGCTAGCTTATTAGATTTAACTCTATTTCAGTGATTGCTTTTATACATCTTTAATTTATCACCGCCTTCCTTTAAATAATACTATATCATTTCATGCATACTATAAGGATCTCAGAATTGTATACTTTCATTACTCTCCTCCCGACCTTTTTTCTATTGTCACCCATTTTGTGTTATAGTACCATATTTTTAACCTCTCATGACATTGATGTTATTTTCTGTTTAAGTAATCAATGTGCTTTTAAAGAGATATAGATAATAAGGAAAAACCGTGATATACATACTCATGTAATTACCACTTCTAGTGCTGTTCATTTCTTTGTGTATACCCAGATCCCAGCTGGTTCCATTTTTCTTCTCCCTGAAGAACCTGCTCTGGTGTTTCCTGTAGTGCAGTTCTGCTGGTGATAAATTCTTCCACTTTTGTGTGTTTGAAAAGTCTTTATTTCACGTTTGGTTTTAAAAGATTTGTGTTGTTTTTTTTTTGCTGGGCAGAGGATTCTAGGTGAACAGCTTTTGTTTTTTTAATTTTTCTTTCAGTGCTTTAAAGATGTTACTCTGTCTTCTTGCTTGCACTGTTTCCGGTGGCAAATCACTATCATATTTATATGTATTCCTTCTACATGAGCCGTATTTTTTTTCCTCTTGATACTTTTAAGAGTTTCCTCCTTATCACTGTTTTTGAGCAATCTGATTTTAATGTGTCTTGCTGAGGTTCCCTTCATATTTCTTGTACTTAGAGATGGTCGAGCTTCTTGCATCTGAGTATATGGTTTTCATCAAATCTGGAAATTTGGGGCCTTTATTTCGTCAAATATTTTTATCTCCTTTCCTTTGGAGATCCCAGCTCACATATGAGTCAACCTGACGTAATTGTGATTCACTGATACTCTGTTAACTTTTTAAATTATTTTATTTTCTCATTATGTTTCCTTTTTTATAGTTTCCATAGCTATTTCTTCAAGTTTTACTAATATTCTCTTCTCCATGGTCCATTGCACCAGTTGCCCCCATGTACTGTACTTTTCATCTCTAGAAGTTGGGTTTGGATCTTTTTATAATTTCCAGGTCTCATTTTAAGTGTATGAATCAAATAACTGTTTTAATGCCCTCGACTGGTAATCCTAACATCTGTCAGTTCTGCATCACTTTCAATGAATCAATTTTTCTCCTTATTAGTAACTGCATGTTCCTGCTTCCTTTCAGGCCTCGTAATCTTTCATTGGATGTAAGACATTGTGAATTTTACCTTGTTGGGTGCTATATATTTTTGTATTCCTACCAGTGTCCTTGAACTCTGCTCTGGAACAAAGATAAGTATTTGGAAACAATTTGATCCTTTTGGGGATTTACTTTTAAAATGTGTTAGGTCAGGCCAAAGCAGTATTCAGTCTAGAACTAATTATTCCCCATTACTGAGAAAAGAGACTTCTACCCAACACTGTGAATCATGAGGTTTTCAAGTCTGGCGGGGGATGGAGGGCAGGGGAAATGGGGCTGAAAACCTAGTCCCACCCCTGTGAGCATGCGCACTATCACCTTTAAGTCTTTTAGGTGGTCCTTTCCTGGGCTTCAGGTAGTTTGCTCTCATGCATATGCTGGTTAGCACTCAGCTAAACACAGTAGGGAGACACCTTCAGATCTCCTGGGGTTTCTATCTACATTGCTTCCTCAGGTATTCTCTTCTGCAAACTCTAGCTGTCTGAGTTTTCCTGTACTTTCATCTCCATCTCCTCAACTCAGGCAGTCTGGTAGGCTACACCCTGTTTGCACCTCCCTACAGTGTGACCTGGAAATTCCCTGAGGGTGGTAAATTCTAGGACTCGCCTCATTTGTTATCCATGTCTCTGGAATCCTTGTCCTGAGAATGAAATGAAAGCATGCTTATAATGTATGCACTGAGCCCACTGCGTAGAGATGCAGTAATTACTCAACAGAAGTATAATTAATACCATTATATTTACTTGAGGACACAGCTTTGAAAGTTTGAACTCATGTGTATATGTGCTGCGGACACAATGCTTTGGAAGAGTCAGAGAACTTGAGAGGCTCTTTTGTTTGTTTATAGGTCTTTTGTAGCTTCATTTACATCCTGAAATCTAAGTGGGTGGTAGCACTTAAGAATATGTTTGAGGTCCAAAGGGCACTGTGGTGGGGAAAGATGGGTGACAAAGAAAAGGAACATTTTGTGTATCAAAAGGCATTTTTACTTACATATATATTTATGCAGAAATACACATTTATGTAACACCAGTGCATCTCATATAATCGATTTAGGCTCATATAACCGATGACTTAAATGATGACTCCACGAGTTGGGTCATGGAAGAGATGTACATGGGCCCTGCCACTCCTTTCCAATAAAGTTTGATCTCTGTTGAAATGCAG